ATTTTTTATTTTTTTTTCCTAGCAAAAATCTTGTCTCTCCCTGGGATAGGGCTTTGATTCCTTCGGTCCATCTGCACTTAGGTTTGGAAGGGAGGTGAAGTCTTTTCCGACCACTAGGTGTGAGTCACCTCCATACCAAGCTGTCACTGCTGTCTAGTTCTCCTTTGGAAAGAGATCCCCTTGGGATTCGATGCTTCAGGAATCTGTTTATTGTAGGCATCCATTGCAATTTGCTCTTCGCAGCCATCATTTTGTTTTAAATAAAGTACTGCTACCTCCTGCCAGAGTGTGAACAAACGAACCGTTGTGATACACTTGCAGAGAGCCAACTGGACTGTGCTGTTCCTCACACCTCAAGTGAAATAACGTCATGGCTCGGCGCCACTGTTGCCTCAGTGAAGGCCACAGGAGAGCGGTGCTGTGTGCAGGTGTCAAAAGCTCAGAAATAAGGTCTTCTTTCCTCCTGATAAGGATCTTTTCCCATCATCTCTTGTAGGTTCCTGCCCAAACCCATCTCCATGCTCCTCAGCACCATGTTCCTGTTCTCCTGAGCCTGTCTTGCTCAGGAAAGTCCCCTCGTTTTTCTCTCCATTCTGTTGTCCATGATGCTGTTGGGCATGACTTGATAAGATGCATCTCTGAATCTTTGTGTCCCACAATTGCAGAGAAAAAGGTTGTGAAGGATGCTAATTTACCCTCTTTTGAATGGTTAGTACCTTAATCTAACAAATAATGTCTTACCTTCTCAGCGAGCTCTAGCCTGCATCTTTGTCTGGATTTAGAAAAGCAATTTACAGACTTCAAATTGCTTGCTTTTACCATCATTTTGCTCCGTATTGAAAGGATAATTTATAAGCAGATACGCTTGTCCTGTGTATGCTGGTTGTAAACTGTGACATACCTTTTTCTCTATTACTCCAGCCAGGCTTGCTTGTGTTTTGAATATCAGTCCTTGTTGGCCTATTTGTTTGACATGCAGCAGGAGATCTATCTGTGCCTCTGAGCTCTTGAAGTTATTGTCTACTTCTTTTTACATGGAGCCTGTATGGGATACCCATGCTCAGCTTTTTAATTCCCCAGGATACACACTTTCTTCCGTAGTGTGTCAGCACAAAGAAGGGATCGTTGTGTCACTCAAATACTGTTTCACACGTTTTGACCATGTTTACCTTTGCACTTAAATGGGTGCAGAGGAACTGTCAAAAATAGCCAGAGACTCATCAAAGGAAAAATTTGATATTTTTTTTAGACAATTCTCAAGGCACATGTCTTTATTTTTTTTCTGGCTTGTGCTGGGTCTCTTTTCCATTTTGATTTAAAACATTAATAACAACATGAAGCGCTGTTTTCCCCTAAGACAAATGCACTGAGGTTAAATCATTCTTGTTTGCCTCATGTTTACTGTCTCGGGTGTACCACAACAGCTACTAACTGTGATGTTACCCTTTCCAAACATCTCTATCCTTTTATCTAGGTGATTCGATAATGGTCTGAATCCTTCCAAATCCGTGCCCTGTTATCAGGGAGCCAAAAAGATCCTGAAATCGAGAGAATCTACTGAGAAAGCTTTATCTTCCTAAGCGATCTTTCATAGCAAGGGTGAGAAGGTCAGGAACAGCACAGCCCTGTTGAATATGAAGTGAAATGAATGTGTATGGATTTTTGAACTTGGCAATGCTTTTTTAAAATGTTGATATAAATAGACTTTTATAGCTGCTTAGGGAGAGGTGGAAAGCCTTGTGGTTGAGGCTCTCGAGAGAGGTATGGGTGGTGGAAAGAGCTCACATGGGGCTTGAGGCAGAAGGCAGCCAGCAGTGGGGTATGGACACCACATGAGATATGTACCACAGAGGAAAAATAAACCCGCTGAAGCTCTATTTAATGCCTGCTACTCTCCACAATTCCCCCCCAAGCAGTGCTGCTGGCCCTAAAGCCTTCATCAGTCTTAAGCCTCTGCGGGTGTTTTCAGGCTGAGGTGAAACGCCACGTCCGTGCTCCATGCAGCATCGTGGGAGAGCAGGGTGGGTGGAGTGTGCTTCCTGGGACACGAAGAGGTTTGCATGAGGTTTGCATGCGGGGGTGAAGCTCCTGGTGTGGGCGTGTCCTGCTGTGTGCAGTGGTGTTGGCTGCTGCAGCTGTATTTTGGGTGCAGGAGTTAGCAAGAGGTGCTCCTACATGGGCAGGGCAGGGTATCCTGCTGCAGTGCTGCAGAGTTGCTTTCTTCCCTTTTTCTTCTTCCTGTCCCATCTTCTGGTCTTTGCTTGTTTTCTTGGTTGATTGATGAATTTATGGCTCCTTTGTGCCTGGGCTTTTTGCAGGGCCAAGTCTAGCAGAAGACTGCCTGAAGGCATCCCCTGGTTGCTGTTTCAGCACCAGCATCGCCATACGTGCTGTAGGGCTGCCTTTCCCCTAGGTTCCCTGAGAACCTTATCCTGCAGGGAAAGGCTCTTATTCCTCAACCTCAGTTTATTCTTTCATTTTCACTTCTCAGTGCTTTTCAGGCCTGGTAGTGCTCTCCCTGTGAGAGCTACTGTTTGCGAGTGGTGGGAGCAGCATGCAGCCAGCTCACATCCTCACTGGAGGCATCTGCGTGGGATTTAGTCAGATCAGGAGTGAGCTTTGGGAGCAAATCTCCCAACCATTTCCACTTACTGTGATTTGCTTTGCATTGAGTAGCCATCTTGGGCTCAACTCCCTATGGAGGAAACTTAGTGGGAAGATGTGGCACCTGTGGACATGGGACCAAGCTCAAGTTGGTCCGAAGGAGTGAAAAGCCCTGAAACAAATCTTAGCATCATGTAGGACAGCGGGTCCTCCTCCCTGGCTGTTTTGCTCTATACATCCTTCCTGGTCCATGCTGTTTGCTGATGTGTCCCTTGTTGCTCTCCTCTGAAGCACCACTTCTTTGCTTAGCTGCTAAGCCTGGTGGTGACCCCAAAGTTTTCATGCTGTAGGTACTTCAGCAAAGATGCCCGATTCATTGTTAGGACTGTTCTCTGTATCACAGTCATGACTCTGGTGCACTATTTGGTTGTACAAAACCACAGGTACTGCAGAGCTGAAAGGGCAGATATGCGTCAGGAGCCTTTGTGAGGATTGGTGCTTAATGATGGCCCTAATAAGCAGCAGAAAATGACCGGGCTTCCTTGGAAACATTTCCTTGTAGTCCTGGGAGTGATGTCAATGCTGGATTTAAGCTGTGTCTCAGTTTGTCCCAGGGACTCGCTGTTACCTTTGATGGTTGCTTCCTGAAGGTGGAGGGGATGGGAAAAGCCCCTTCCTTTTCAGCTCAGTTTGATTTATTTTTCTGTGGCGGGGCTTGCAGAAGTGCAGCCAAAGTGAGTCGTGGACCCCTGTCGCTTTTTGTTGGATGAAAATGTCCTAAATGGAAGTTTTATACTTAGAATTTTACAGCTGCAAAGGGCAATATAAAAAGCCCTATAAAATTGCCTGGATTTATTTGGCTAAAGGCTGCTCTGGGTGCATCAGAATCTAAATCCTTATTCAGCATTTACAGTGCGCTTTGCTTTATATATAAGCTTGCTTGTTTTCCCATGATTTTCACTAATGTAGGTTTTCTTCTTCCTGTATTTTAAGCTATCCTAATTAGAAATTTGTGACTTCTGCCTTCACAGCCTATCTGGGAAAACCCATCTACAGGCACTGGCTACTAACACAGGCTTACTATTGTTCAGATTATGTTTCCAGCATGAATGGTTTAATAGGTCAGTCAAGTATTAAAAAGAGATTTTCACTTGGGTAAAATCTTTTTAAAAGGGCATGTTTTTTCCCGCAAGCGCTTTGTATTCTCTGTGTCCCTTTTGCTCCAATTGGAGTTTTTTAACTTGAGTATGATTTCATGCTCCACCATAGCCTCGTTTTCTTTTCACCTGCTTCCCTGATGCTGCGCTTTATAAGGCATATGTCAATATTTGATAGGAATAAATTGATGATGACTCCAGCTTCTGTGTAGCTTTATGAATCATCCTGGGGTCGTGTGATCTCAGCAAATGCGTTAGCAACTGATGATTTCTGCCGAGGCAGATGGGACTACTGCCAGTGTGCCGCTTGCTCTTGTGCTCCCTTTAGTCTGAGTATTCATTAGCGGCGTTTGCCAGTTGCTTACTGATTGCCAAGACAGACTTTCCAAGACTGTGAGGGGCGACTCGAAGGTGCCTCGTGGTCCCTGTCTCAGGCCAGTGCTGAGAGTTGTGATGTGCGGTGGGGGGGAATTGCTGAATGTGGCTGAGCCCAAGCATGGGGCCAGCTGAATCCCCATCAAGGGATTGCCTGGGGAGTGGTGGAGTGAAGATAAACAGGATATTGCATTTTTCTGGTGTCTGGAGGTTGCAGGTATCATTCCCATTTTCCCCTGGGTACCAAGCAGTGGGCATGACCTGTGCCTATCGGGTTTGATATTTGGTGCAAGTGAGATGACTCCATAGCAAGTGTCTACCCAGACAGTCCTGCAAGCTCCTACCTCTCCCGATCCACTCATCTCACAGAGCTTCTGTGCTGCTTGTCCCTAACTTGCCAGGGGTCAGCAGGGACATCAGCACAGGGACTGCTGGATCTTCTTGGAGTCAGGGTGGGCTTCGGAGACAGCCCATGCATCCCCTGGGGACTGGGGAGAAAGGTTCTACCTCTGCAGTGATGAGCATACAGTCGGGGTGGGTGGAGCACAAAATGGGGGAATTGTGCTGTATTTTAGTACAAGCTCAAATATATCCTGTGCCTGTGTTTCTTGGAGAGGGAACATGATGTGGATTGGGCAACCGGATGAAGTCATGTGTTCTCTGCTCTAAAGCGTCTTTTTCTTTTCTCCATCCTTTATTTTCTGTAAAGAGGACACTTTATGCTACATTATTAAACTGGGGTAGATTTATCAGAAGATATTTCCCTTTGAGCCACAGCACATGGATGTTCCTCATTGTCCTGCCCACCTTTTGATGGAAAGAGGCATTTATTATATGGCTCTTTGTCTTTTTTCCTCCTTGCAGGTGTTTACAAAATACGGGAAATGCTACATGTTTAACTCAGGAGAAGAAGGACGGCCTCTTCTTACCACGGTCAAGGGTGGGACAGGCAATGGACTGGAAATCATGCTAGACATACAGCAGGATGAATATTTGCCAATATGGGGAGAAACAGGTATGAGTTTCTTTTTCTGCAAATACAAATGTAATTTTTTTATTTTGTGGGGAAAGATTTTCCCACCCCAGCCTTCACAGTCAGTGTCTAAACCAAATAGCTCTTCAAAGGAAGAGGCCACCAGGCTGTACAGAACTGAGTTGCTTTTCTTCTCAGTGTCTGTGTCTGGTGGTAGGGACCAGCATTTCCATAGCTCAGGTCATAAGCATTGAACTTGGGTGTCTTGGCACCAAAGAGGGGTCTTGTCTTTTGGGAAGCCCCATCAACTGTCCTAGGGCAGGTTAAGTTGCTTATGGCTGATGAGAGGTGTAGTGTCTGCTTCAGATACTCCAGTACATCCCTCTTCCCTAGAAAGGCGTTTTGGAAGGCCATGTTCAAGGTGGACCTCTACGTTTTGTGTTTTTCTCCTTGAAATTTAGGGAAGGTCATTGCCCTAATTTCTGTCTGCCTGGGTTGCAGCTGTGTGGGTGGACCAGGGGGCTGTGCTCACTGACAGGTCTCCTGTGAGCCCCTTCAAGCACCTTTTAATCTTCTGTTAAGTAGCAAAGAGGAGAGTTGGCTGCATTCATTCAAAACTTAAAATGTATTTGTGTGGTGTTTAATTCTTAGGATTGAAACAGATTCCCACAGTCCTATCAATCACTTACAAATGCACAGCCTCGTATAACAAGAGCTTTGCCTTCCGCTTTGTAGCTCATACTCAAAGTCAGCCTGATCTGGCCTGGGTGAGGGGGTGGAGATAGTGATTTGAGATAATAATTTCTGACTTGTTGCATGTGTTTGAAGTCTTGTCCTCTTAAAGGCAAAATGGGTTCACAGCTATAGTGAGAAGATGAAGTACATCTTCCACCTCCGATGTTTTATTGCCTACAGACTGCCTTGGGCAGCCCTTGGGGAGAGGAGACAACCACATCAATGGCTTGCGGACCTAACAGGCTTGGACAACCACACCATGAGCTTTGTATGTTCAGCTTTATTGAGTTTAGGATCCCTCTGAAGTTCCCATGGTGACACAGACCTTGTGTTACCCCATCCTCACTTTAGGATCTTTTTTTGTAGCTGCATTTTGGACTTCTCAGGAGGAGCCCATGCAGAAACATGCTACTTTCAGAGCTGTGCTTTCCTATCACTGCAGTGCTGGGAAAGGTGGATTAGTCGCAGCTGGGTAAACCAGACTCTCATTATAAAAAGGAAAGATAAGAGTATGTGGAAAAATAAACTGGGAAGATGAGAGATGAGGGAGGGTCTTGCTCTTCCCACCTGGCAGGGAAGCCAGGCAGCATTGCCTATGGTGGTGGGGAGGAGGTTTCCAGCCTGGTACTTCCACATCCATGAGCATATCCGTCATACAGAGGCTAGGTGGGACGGCAGCTTCTGATTGCTCTTTTCAGGCAAATTTCATGCAGAGGTGCTTGAAATATGGCTGTGGTTGCAGACTTGAAACCTGAAGGGGAAAAAAAAACACCTCACAATTACATATATATATATATATAAATATATTTTTTTTTCCTCAAAAAAAATCTTGTAGACTTTATGGTTTCTTGAGTACATACTTGAATTTTGATCACGTGCTGGCCAGAGCATGTGAAAATCAATATACCCTATTTATTTTCAAGACACCCCTGATGATGTCCTTCACCTTCATGACCTCACCACTGCTGATTTCACATGTATTTAACTTAAAGTTGTACTCAGTTGAAGACCAGAAGCATGCAGAAGATTGTCATGTCCTTGGAACTGGGCTGATGTTACAAGCTCTGGATTGACCTAGGTTATCTATTAAGGTCAATACTTGACCATGAAGTGCAATAGGATTCAAGTCAAAACAATATGAATAGGGCTCTCAGTTTAGTTAAGTGGTGTAGGTGAAGCTCTTGGACTTGCTGTGAGCAGATTTGGCTGTGTTTTTACAGGTCCAGGTAGAACTGATACTTGTCATTGAAGCTCATAAAACATTAATCTTTGCCTTCCAACAAGAGACTTTCTCATCCTCCACATTCATACAGCATCTTGTACAAGCTGTCTTCAGTATTTGTTGGGCTCTCTGGACACTACCAGAATAAAAATATTAACTATAGTGGTTAATAGTTACTGTTCCCATGGAAACTCTTAACTCGGCTCTTAGCAGGTAAGTGAAGGAGTTGATGATTTCCAAATATTTGCATAATAATGTAAATGTATTTGGAATTAAATCTCCTCAGCTGCCACCACTGGGACTGTACAAACTTGGCTCTCCAGTGAAAAGCTTTGTCTAGAACACAGCACGTAGTGGGGAGTGTCAGCTTGTGCTATGGAGAGGTGTGGGCTCAGACGCGGGGTGGGACCTGCGTGTTGCAGTGCCAAGGCTGTGGGTAGGCATGGGGATATCACCAGGATGGAAGGAGTTGAGTTTCTTCTTCCCAGTGAGTTAGTATCTCCATTATAACCTAAACTGTCTGCACAGTCCTTACGTTTAGCTCTTCAGATATTTCTACAGACTGGTTTTGTTGCTGTCTCCCCTGTAGCTATCCTGTGCCCAGCAGGTGCTCTTTAGTTTCCTCTTTGACAGTGAGGTTGAGTTACTCAACCTTTTATCTCCAGATTGCAACTTTTGTAGCATCCATCAAATAGGGCTGCTGAGACTATTTCCTCCCCCAGCTGGCCATACCATGTTGATCTGAGTTTTCCCAGAGCCATCAGCACCTGCAGCCCACCGAGCTGCTCCAAGTCCCGTTTATGGCATTGGCTCTTCATGAAGGGCTTCAGGGATGTGGAAGGTTGGCCAGCTTCTGTCACCTCAGGGAGACCTTCATGTGGAAAAAGATGTGTTTCCCTGACCCGTCGTGGTGGCCTTGGCTTGTGCATCCCCTGAGGGTCTGTCCCATAGAAAACAGCCACACTCGAAGGGCTCTTCAGGCCCCGGTTCACTACCTCTCCATCCAAACCATGGCCAGGGCACCCTGCAGGACCTTTCCTCTGCACCTTGGGTTCCTCTTACCTCATTGTCACAGAGCAGTAGTGGTTCTTTTGGGTGCTGGGCTGATTTTTCTTAATGCACAGTTCAATCAGTGGTGTCTGGATTTGGTCCCATAGCCGCTTCGCTTTTTGGTCTGGGTGTGGAGATACCGTAAAAAAGCCTTCTTCATCACAACCCCTTAGGAAAGTAGCCCATGTGTGGACTCAAAAATCCTCATTTTGCTTCTGGCTGCATGCCTCAGGATCTCTGCTTTCTTCTTTAGACTGTTCTTTGCAATTCAAATAAGAAACTAAGACAGAAAATATTGGTTCATAGCTTGGGATAGGGCTGCTCCAGGAGCTACTGCCACCATGTCACGTTGGCATATGCTTTCTAATCCAAAAAGTGATTTAATTGTTACCAACTTGGCAAACAAAATGAAGTGTATTATCATTCTAAAAAGACCTTTACTGAGTATCCATTAATATCTTGGGAAGCTGAAATAACTTGTCTAACAAGTTGCTCTTATTAGAAAAATACACCTTTTGCTTGACTGTGTGCATTTGCAAGCCCGTTATTTGAACATGTTAAATTTATGTGCAGTCTAATTTTGGAATAGCGAGTGCACACAGACTGCTTCAGTCTTGATTTTCCAGAGCAAAGAAAGGGTATTTTGACTGTCTGGATGTCATGGCATCAAGCAGCATTGCCATCTTTGGGTGTGCAAAAATATTGTGTCATAAATGTCAAAATCATGAGGTTCGTGGAAAAAAAAAGAAGATAAAAAGAGCTGGAAATCATTGTCTTCTGAATTTTGCACTTCTAGGAATTATATTTCCTAGTATTTTACTGTAATTGTGAAGTTACTAGAAAGGAAAAGAGTGGGAAAATAATTTGTGGCTGAAGTCTTCACATCACTTGTGTGTTTTGCAGAAAACCTTAAGTATTCCAGGTATCATGCTATCCCATGGGAATTATGATGCAAACAAGAAAAACCCTGCATGAATGTAAAATGTAAGATGGAAAAAAGTATATCAGAGAAAACTCTTTCCAGTAACTGATGGGGATACAGCAAGCCACAGGCTCTGGGTGGCATAGGTGGAAGTTGCAGCCAGTCATTCATATGGCACCAAGTCTCCCAGATACCGTGGCTGCACATCTTGATCCTGCTGGACTAGGTGCCAGGGACTGGTGAGGATGCAGAATGTGTTTGTTTTATTGTGCTTTGTAGGGAAAGTGGCAGAAATGCGATCAAACACAGTAAAAGAAATTCTAATTTATAACAGTGACTATTTGATTGGAAAGGAAATCCACTTGTGGTTAATCTTTCTGGAGTGGCCCAAGGTATTATATATTGACCTAATATAGCAGTACAGTAAATTGGAAATCACTCAGGCTACAGGGCTGTAAATAAGAAATACAATCAAAGAGTTCTGCATTTGTGTTTCAGGAATTGTCGGATAACGATGAACATTTCATACTTATTAATCAAGTAACATGCTGAATAAAAAAAAAAAAAAGGATGAGAAATGCAGTATAAAATGGCACTAAAAAGAAGCATGAAATCTATAAAGCTTGAGGCTTCAATCCACTTAGGAGATGATCATGTAGTGTTATAGGCTGCTGTTATTTAACTCAGAAAAACACAGGCTACAAGCAAGACTTTTCATCTAGGTCATGCAGAGGAAAAATCTCGAGCCTGTTTCCCTGCACATCTGGCAGTGTTGCAGTGCATTTTTTGCTTCCCAATGGGGTCTTGTAATGTTGTTATGGCCCAGTGGATGCCTGGCTTCCAACCCCTGACACTAAATGATGGATGGAGGCTCGGGTACCAGCCTGCGCCATGCCCGAGGCATCGGATGCTCACCTTCTGTGCTGGGGAGAGCTGCACGTCTGCAGCATTCATCCAAATTACCCAGAGGTGCAGGTAGTTTCAGTGGCATCAAATTTCCATGCCACTGCTTTCTTCCTCATTAAAGCCACCTTAATTCAGCAGATCTCTTTCCGCTCCCAAATTGAATTTCAATACATTGAATTAGCATGGCTTTCATTTTGAATCGGGGTC